TATACCAGCTGTTTCCCTTTGCCACCAACAGGTGGCAGCAGAGTGCCTTCTGCTACAGAGCCCTGGCCCATCTGGGGTTCTCAAGTAGTTCTGGGCTACTCTTCTGTTCACAAACAGGAATCAAGAGCAAGAGGTCTTCTCTCTAGGGCTTCAGGCTGTTCGCTGACCAGCATTAATCCTGATTCCCAGTACCCCCTAGCTCTAACGGCTAGACCAACGTTTCCTCTCATTTTTTCCATCCATGTGCGGAATGAATTTTGTGATGTGCACCGTATCGAGGTAACGTGCAGATGCGCGCCACCATTAGAGATACAATATATATATTTTTAAAACTTACCATAGGAATAATTAATCCAGCCAGGACAGGAGGTTAGGCATTTGTACTCACTACTCAATGAATTAAATTTAAACGCAAGAGAGAAATAAAAATTATGAAATGCACAGACCAAAAACTAAAATAACACTTTGAAAGATGTATCAAGAAGTAACAACACTACCACCACAAGTATGTGTTGGGAGGCGAGTGTGAAAGACAGTGTGTATGTGTGTGTGACAGAGACGTGTGTTGCCCCTTTAAGTACGCTGCCCTTTCAGCTGCCAGCAAGCTCCCTGCGTCTCGTCCCCCTGCTCTGTGGAGATGGGGTACAGGGGCAGAGGAACACCCTGACATCAGCACCCTTATCCTCTCCGCCGCTCTGCACAGCAAGCAGGAGGCTCCCGGGAGCAGCTCCAAGGCAGAGGTTGGGAGCAGCACACGGCAGTGGGGGGGAAGGGACCCCTGAACTGCGCAGCACTTGATAGCCTCCTGAGTGGCCACCCAGCCGTGCAGCTTACAGGGAACTTACCACTAAATCCCACTGCCCTCCCAGAGCCTGTGACAGAACCCAGGAGTCCTGACTCCCAGCCTCCCCTCGAACCCACTTAGACCCCACTTCCCTCCTTGCTGGTGCTCAGTGCACAGTGAGGAAGAGCCGTACACACCAAGGAGTCTAAGAAAATCGATGGTTTATTGATGACAAGTTGCAGGCCATTATACGATACAAGCCACAGAGACAGGTTCTTGCCCGGCCAGCTGGGACAGACCGCAGTGCAGACAATTACCCCCACATTCCAGGGGAGCAGAGGCGGCTTCTTTGTACCCACCCCCAATGGGGACAGGGGCAGGGAGTGCGCCCCCCACCACAGAACACCCCCTGCTGACGAGTCACAGCCCCACCCCTGCAGGGATCCCCCTACGGGGACAGGGAGGAGCTGGGGCCCATTCAGCCTTTGGCCTCCCTGCTGAGGTGACTGGCACTGGGGTGTTCAGGGCAGGTAGGGATCAAGGCACCTTCTCTGCTGAGACCCACCAGTTCATTACACACATGGGTGCACCAAGTGGGACGCACTTCCGCCCTGCACGGAGATAGGGTCGGATACAGATGCCCCCTAGAGGGGAAAGGTCCCATGTTCCATTCCCCCCTCCCCTCCCCGAAGCCAGCTACCCACCCAAACTAATGGGGAAAGGCTCTGCGTCCCATCCTGCCCTGCCCTGTGCCAGCCAGTCCCTGTCCTGGGCTACTAGTTACACACACAGCTAGTTAATGCATTACAAGCGGTGCCCCTCTCACCCCTCCTTCACACACAGCTACTCAAATATGGAGCATTTCGAGGTGCTGCCCTGCCCCTCTCTGCCTGGGGCAGAAAAGCATCTCCCCAATGAGGCTCTGACCCCTCCTGGGCATGAATGAATCCTTGATACTACCCCATTCGCCGCAAGTCAAAATCAGAGCCCTCCGCCGCAGCTCCTGCAAAATCTCCACTCCTAAAGAGCTGCCCTGCCCCACCCCAGAGGTGGCTGCATCTCAGTGCTGGGTGAGCACATCCTTTGCCGATTTGCTGGGCAGCTGTTACCCAGAGGTGGCTGCATTTCAGGAAGTCTCACCTGAGTCTGAGCCAGACTGTTTAGATTGGAAGCTTTTTGAGGCAAGGAGTATCTCTGATTACACGTGGGCACACAGTGCACAGCACAACGTGGTCCTGCCTGATCCCAGCTGGGAACTAGCTACTACTGAAATACAAATAATCATCAGCTCTTGCGTAACCCAGGCGAGAGTATTCCACCGCATAGTGATCAGGCTTGGCTGTATGTTCTCGAAACACTAACCGAGTCTTGCTAAAGACTCCCAGCGATAGACACCCTCCCTTGGGAAGCGGCTCCAAGAGTTAATCGCCCGTTCTGTGGAAAATCTGCACCTTGCCTCCACTCGGAATCTGTCTCGCTTCAGCTCCCGGCTGTCGGCTCCCATGTGGCTGCCGTCAGCTGGACTGAAAAGCCCTTGGGTGGCAAAAACCTTTGCCTGGGTCAGCATTTATTCAAAGGGCTGAACCCAAACTCAAAGGGGGACAGATCTGGA